ATTTTATTGTCTCCCCCCTAGATTAAAGTTTAATTTCCAAACAAAAAGAACAGTCAATCCAATTTCTTAAAGTAATTTAAGAACAACCATTGAAATTCTGTCATAGAGGGTAAACTAGACTTACACATTATTTTTAATTTTGAAGCAGACATAGCGAGATTCATAGTCTGTTTCTCCTCTGCGACACACATATGGAAACCTTCCTATGGTGGAAACAGCAGAGATAACTCCCATAGCATCTAAGTAAAAATTAAAGGAAAATGGTCATATAAGTCTTCATATATAATAAATCTTGGTATACAACATTTAATTTCACAAATTATTACCAAAGACAGAGTTTTTATCATCTTCATGAGCATTTCTGACAGTATCAGGCCAAACAAAGTTCCAGTAATTGTTCCAAGACTTAGATCTAACAGGCCACATGGTAGTTCCACTCAAAAACTTAACCTGAAGTGGCATAGTTGAATATCTGACTTGGTTTTTAGGTATGATGACTTGAAAGTCAGTCATGTAGTACCAAACGTCTTGTTTGAGTCCTCGCTGAAAGTTCCAGAGGTAGTAACCTTGTGGAATTGTTGCGTCCATTAAATTCCCCTATACAAAGGAAACAAACAAATTAGATAAGTAGTTTTTCAACCCTAGAACATGATTATGATTTTAAAAAGGTGTAAAACAGAACAATAGAATTAGAAACAAACCTTCTCATCTGCGAGAATCATTGTAGTTAGATCACCATTGAAAGGAGGATTATGATGCCAGATACTCATTATCTTAACACAAACCCTCCACTTTGTGGAATGTCTTCGCAAATCGGAGAGAAGGTGCATTTTCTCCATAGTTTCTAAAAGATTTTGTTTTGCTTTCAACTGGGAAGATATCTCTGTAAATCTAAAATCTCTCAACGCATATATATAGATATAGATATATTGGTTAAGAGACGCAAAGGATTAAAATAAAAAGAAAAGGAAACTGAATCGTTAATAGAATATATAAAATATAAAAATTTGAAAAGACTGATGCAAATCATTGCTAATTATTACAAAAGGATACAGTTTACATTTTTCAAGATACACCCAACGATTTAGATTTGCCTAGATTGTATAAACCGTCAAATATGGAAGTTTCTTTAGGTTTTGTTATTCATGATAGATTTTTTATATAATAGATTATATATAAGTAAAATATATAAGTAAATATGTACTTAAATAATAGTATCGATTTTTTGTAACAGGATCTAGATTTGCCTAGATTGTATAAACCGTCAAATATGGAAGTTTCTTTAGTTTTTGTTATTCATGATAGATTTTTTATATAATAGATTATATATAAGTAAAATCTATAAGTAAATATGTACTTAAATAATAGTATCGATTTTTTGTAACAGGATCTAGTTTTTGCTATTTGTTAGTTACAATTATAATGGTACTGATGCTAGATAATTCTATGTTTACAGACCAGGCAACATCTTTAAAGAAGGCAAATGTGAAAGCAATGATAAAGCCAGTCCAGCTTCTGAAAGCACTGATAAAGGTTAGTGAAGTCTAAATGATTCAAGAAGTATTTAGATCCAGAATTAAATATGAAGTTGTCGTGATGTGTTAATTGTTTTTCGAAAATGATTTTACTATATTCTCTGTTGACATGTATGTTAAATTCTGCAATTGGTTGATAAGATATAAAGA